TGTCCCTGGACCACTTCTGCTAGCAGTTCTTCCTGAGAAGTTCGAGTTCTGGGAGCAACTGGAAGTGTCTGTTTCTGTGGGACTTTAACATAAAAAGCAAAAAAGATGGAAATACAAATGCATCAACACTCAATAGTGAACATTTCATATTAAACATAAATGCCTCCTTGGCTTTAGACTAGAACATATAAGGCGTTCAAAATAGTGCATAGATACTACTCATTTTTTTTCTCTACAATGTTCTTGAGAGAGATAACTGACTTATTACCTATATGTACATAAACAATTTTAAGCCACATGCCATGAATATGATACATCACACTACAATACAACATACATGTATTCATTTTTAAGCAAATGCAGTTTAGGCTCTGCTTCATGATCTTCTATCAATTTTAAACTGTAATTTAGATAACCTAAGAAAGAAATTTCAGTGCTATTTCTTAAAACTTGGAGATTATAAAAGCAGGATATTTCAAGGTCGTAGAAATTCTCTAAATTTCTCATCATTCTAGACAGTTAACATTGCTGATAAACCAGAAAAGGGAATGTAAATAGATAAATTGTTAGGTCAAGTGTTGACCCTTGCCTGATAATCCTTATTCTATTTGCCAAAACCCATTTAATTTTATGCTCAAGTTAAATTAGGGAAAGTGCTTAAAAGCAAGAGGACAGAGGAGTATCAGGATCAAAAATTAGATGGCTAACAGTTTACTCCACTTCAGGAAGGTGGTCACAAAAAGAGATGCAAGAGAGAATGGACAAGCAGAGCAATGCTGTAAGAGCATTCATCAAATCCACAGCAAAAATTTAAAAATATTTTCAGAGTAGGTAATTACCATCATCTTAACACAAATTTTACACACTGGCTAAAGCAAGTCAGACAGAGTCCAGAATTTAATGACAACATAACACCCAGCATTTAGTCTGCATTTCAGAATGAACTTTCCTTAAAGAGCAGCTCAGAGCTGATTCATCTCCTTTGTTTTAAAAACATGTAATACCTTTACATTTTCTCATAAAATGATTTAGTACTTCCAGGAGGACTGGGGCAGGAACATCACAAATGAGGCAATTCTCTGTCTTATATTCTATTAATGGGTTCCACTGAAAAAAACCAATCTGTTTATATATTAGTTTTAAAAAAATTTCTGTAACTTCAGCCACTTATTATCCAATTTTACTCTTTTTGTTGAAAGACAGGGTCTCACTTTGTCACTCAGGCTGTATTTCAGTGGCACAATCATTGCCTGCTAGAACCTCAAACTCCTGGGCTCACATGATCCTTCTGCCATACCCTCCTGAGTAGCTGGGACTACAAGTATGTGCCATCATGCTCGGCTAATTTTTTAAATTTTTTTGTAAAGAGGGAGTCTCGCTATGTTGCCCAGACTGGTCTTGAACTCCTAGCCTCATGGGATCTCTCCACCTTGGCCTCCCAAAGTACTGGGATTACAGATGTAAGCCATTGTGCCTGGCTTCCAATTTTATTCCCTTTTATATATCATAAATTCATATCTAACATTGAATCTAATGTTATTAACACAAAAGTTCCACTTTTATTAAGATTCTTTTT